TTTGTAATTTTTTCAAAATATTTATCAACGTGTTCGATAAGATTTAATTTGGAGTCGAAATATGTTGTTCTTTTTTTTAATTTTTTGTTGGCTTCCAAGATTCAACATCTAACGGTCGATCTATCTCTTTCATTTGTTTTTGTTTTAGTTGTCAACTTCTTTTTTCATTACGAAAATTTTTTGGAGTATTCCCTAAGTTACTTTGAGAAGTATACAAATCGAGTTTGATTTTTTGGCGGACTTTCTCGACAAATCTTCCTACTTTCATGTTCATTTCACCCTTTAAAACGTGGTGTTTTAATATTCTGAACCAACCTTCGACATTTGCATTACTGTGTCTTTTCTCTTCTTTAGTTTTTGTCAAAAACGTGTTCATGATACCTGTCCACAGAGGAACAAATGGCATATAATGTTTTAGAATATAACCCAACATAGTTTTATGTACTAGTGGATTATTGTACGAATCGTTTTCAGGTTCATCATCCACGGAATCGATATTTTCCATAGTTTTCTTATGAACCTCGGAAAAATATTGATAAAATGGTGATTCTTTATATGCACCTCTTACCAATGCATCATCTGACATATCACATTCCATTGTCATGGAATGTAAAGCTTCAATATTTTTCGAAGAATGCCTATTTATAAAATATTTCAACGCTTCTTCTACTTTTTCCGAACTTTTTTGGCTTCCCAGAATGATACACATTTGATTGAAAAAAAAACTCAGTTCCTTTAAGGACGTGGAATCTATAAGAACTGCAATCATCTCCATTATGATTTGTGATATTTCTTTTGCCACCAATTTCTTTTTTAAAATAGAACTCACCATCTTGAGAAAATGTGAGCAACAACATTTTAGAATTATGATAGGGATTGTTTTCTCTTCTTTTGATAATGAATTGAATACAACTTTCAGATATGAAAATAAAGTCATTTCATTCAGTCCCAAACAGACTCCTCTGATATTAGCAAAACTCCAATTACATACATTGACGTCAAATATTGGCCAAGATCTTTGGACTTCTACTGTTACAAATCTCTTGAATTTCACAAAAAACAAGCAATAGTAGCAGCATCATGCAACAAACTTATCATTTCCGCAATTGGAATAATTTTTCCAGCCTTGTTCACAACTAAAGCATAATAATACAACCTGCCTGTGTTGATGGCCTTCACAACACTTCCAGTCGCATCAAAATATGCTGTTGCTTTTTGACCTTTGGACACCAAAATATCTAATTGTGATTTGCTGTACAAGTATACCAGGGTATCAGTCGATGGCCACTGGATATATTTCATTTTCCCCGGATTTGCGATGAAACGTAAGACTAGATCGAAATAAGGATCTTTGTGTAAATCAGAATCAGATTTACCTTCTGACTTGACTTTTTGATACACTGATAGGGATCGTATGTCTTGCCAGTTACCACGCTGCAATAATTCTTTATCGCTTTTCTCAATATCTTCTTCTCTTTTGTGTAAAGGAGTCTTTTGCAAAAGATCCTTCTTCAGAAGTTTTCGTTGAAAACCTCTCACTTGGTACGAGAATTGTTCAGAACCATGATTCTCTTGCTCTTTATCAAATCTGATGATGGCTCTACAAATATTAATATTCTCTGTTTTATTGAATTCAAAGCGGAATTTTCTGCATCCACGGTGATTGCAAATTGCATATTCTACGAAAACAGGTCCATTAATTTTCCTCCGAAGATGAGTTCCTTTGAAACAGATCACACAAGAAATATCGTAATCCCAAAGATGTTTCCTGATATATTGACGACGCGCTTCTACATCATGTTTAATATACCATCCTACGTAAGCGATCTTCAAATATGCATAGTCAATAGATTTTTGTAAAGTGTAATTCATGCATTCATCGAATTTTTGTTGAGGTGCTTTTTTATCAGGTATTCGACTGGACTTGGTAAGTTCATCTGGTTCATCTGTTTTTGTTATTTTATCAAGCCCAGTATCTGTGGAAACGAATTCATTTGATAGTGAATGTTCATACTTTTTCCAACATTTCCAAAGCCGATACCTATTATTGTTGCTCGGTTTCATTTTTAGACTCTTACAAATTGAATGAAATACGTTTGAAGAACTGATGGACCCTCTAAGATCTTCAATGTTTACCTTACCGTCACGTACCAAATTACAGAAAATGTGTGGGGTAACCACAAATTTTTTATATTTCGGCATCTTAAATTAGAGCGAAATGTAGAATATTCCAGTCCGAAATACTGAAAAATAGATATTATGAACTAATATAATTTCTAGAATAACTTTTCTAAGATATCCAATTTAATTGTGAACCAGTCACACCAAAATCGTAAACCTAATGAGTTAATCAAATTGAAACAAAATCATAAATCCAAATCGTAACCAAAATCGTAATCCAAAATCGTTAGCAAACTTCCAAAATCAAATATCAATAAAGACGCAAGCGACAACTACTGAGCAAAACAGAGCAATTTACCTTTGGCCTACAGCCGTATTCGATTTATTAGGTGTAAACTGTGAAATTATTCATTCTTACAAGACGAAATTTGTCAAAAAATATCAACTAATCGGGAAATTAGGTCTCCTCAACAAATGAATATTTTTCTGTTACGTATCCAGGGACCATCACCATAATACGATTTGATATTGTTTGGATGAAAGTGCATTTGGATGGAAGGACGTCTATCAACTGCTCATAATTAATTTCCTAAACTACACCTTACAATTTGATCTCCACAAACTTCATTTAAAAAAAAATATATCACATGTTCCGCTAACATAGTTGCTTCTTCAACAGTGAGTCAAATCATTGTTGAAGAAGCTACTGGGTTAGCGAAACATATCGTGATATATTTTTTTAAATGAAGTTTGTGGAAATCAAATCGTGAGGTGTAGTTTATGACATCCAGTATGAATCATAACCATGGAATTGAAACAAATAATTTTATCTTTATAATTTGATTTTTTTAATACAATAAATTAGTAATTGTATTGATTTCAATAGTTCATCATGAGGGTTTGCTGACCAAACTTCGATCGTATGGCTTGACGGATCATTTTTGTGTATGCCTCTCTAGCTTTATGAAAGAACGTTCCCTGTAAGTGGTCGTTGATGGATATCTCTCGATTACTTTTACCATCAACGCTGGTGTTCCCCATTGTCTCCAACCCTCTTTTTATTGTATAACTACTATGGACAAAACGAAGAATCCAATATCTTGCTTTTTCGACGACAGCACACTTGTCTCATCATTCCATTTCAATTCCAAATCATCAGCTGCGGATACAAATCTTCATCGGTAGCAGGAGGTTGCATACCCTAATGAGGATCTAGAAGTGATTTCGAATTGGGGTGAAACTTACCAGGTTTACAAAAACCAAGGCATCCGTTTTCTCCAAAAAGATAAATGTCTCCGCTTTCTGCTTCGATAAGTTCGTTGAGGGTTGAAATGGACATCAATATGTTTTGGCACAATCATGTCGCTGGAATTGTGAAGGCTGCTTTTCAAAAGCTTGGAACACTGCTCCAAACCAGAAAACTGTACACACCTCAGCAACTTTTGAAGCTTTATAAACAGGTTCTTGCCGAATTTCATCACTCACCCTTATGTACTGATCTTTAATATAAATCACTATATGCATGTTATCGAGAGTTATACAGAATTTTTTTTCGATTTCGTTCAATTTTTGACAAACCGAAATTTACATATAGACACAATAAGGGCGGGACCAACTTTTTAATTATCAATTGATATAGATGATTGTTATTTTCATGATATTGGGGTTGTTTTCCATGTGATCTTATTATAGATTTTTATTCATCTATATATTCTCGCGAGATACTGCCTCAGGCACAATTTCAATATTAGGATTTGAATCCTCCTTGCAGACTATTTATTACCTGTCATAGATCTCCATGTGGAATCTTTTCAGAGTAACATTGTCCATCACTTACATATATAGTTTTTACGGATCTCGTCAGGTTTTTGGTGGAGAGGCGTTAAATATCGGAGACAATAGGGGTGATTTTACCCTGTTTATTTTGCTTAAGGCTGAATAGTGACTATTCAATATTTTAGTTAGGCTCATTCTCACTACTTTTCTATTTCCGATTCCAGTCGATCTCAACAGGTCCTTGCCGAACGCTTTTTCAAATATATTTCTGTGGGGGTGTCGACATGCCCTTATATCCTGATCTTTGTTATGAATCCCTATATGCATTTAATCGAGAGGCTTATACTGAATCATTTGAGTACTGAAAATTTTCCCGATCTCGTTCAGATTTTGACGAACAGAAATTTATATATATATATTGACAAAATAAGGACGAGACCATCCTCTCATTATTAATCAATATGAATAGTATTTATTTTCATGATATTAGTGTTGATTCCTATATGTTCTTATAATAGATTTTCGTGAATTTCAATTTTCTCGTCAGAAATTGACCTGGGCAGAAATTTTATATTAGGGGTTGAACCTTCTTTCAGTCTATTAACTATCATAAATCTCCATGTGCCATCTATACTGATTTTTTTTTCATCTTTAGACAAATGAACTTTCTGCCAATCTCATGTTTTTGGTGGAGAGATATCAATTATCAGTAGAAATCGTCATTACTTGTAGCAATAGGGGTGAGACCACCCTTTCCAGGTTTAGGCAGCCTGATTACCTCTCAATTTTCACTGAAGCTGTCATTTTGCATTATTTTGTGTTTTAAATCCAAGTATATCTCGAAACGGTTTGCGAAACTCTTTTTTGAAGGTATACCTGTTACGGGTAGTGACTCGCCCTTTTAGTGTAATCTTTGATGTGAATTCCAATATGCGTGATATCATCATGCATTTCTACCTACAAAATTCATTGTGAAGTAGACATATTTCGAGAAACTATCATTATGAGCATTATTCATCTGGTCAACTGTAAAATCGAAAGAATCGGATTTAAATCTAAAGCTAACTTCAGCCACATAGGTATAATGTCCTTCAAGAAATTATGTCATTGATCATGTTCGTTTGAAAAGTATGGTTTTGGAAAATCTATTCTGCAAGAACGAATTTTTCAAAATGGAAGAGATTTAAAATGAGTATAGTTAGAAGTTTTTTAAGTTTAACTTTCAAATGATGAGCAGTTCTCGAGCTTGTCATGTTCTTCTGACGTACAACGTCCTCGAGGGGATCAATCAAGCCAATAATTTCCTGTGAAAGTATTTACTGAAGGGAGACTATCCCCAGCCTTACTCCGATGTTCCAGCATATCAAGGTCACTTATGTTGTTTGATTCTTTAATCAGAGAGATAGGCTCTTCTTTTTAAAAGTACGCTTAAGGCAAAGCTTAGAATACCTGAGCAATATTGTAAAAAATAGTTCAATTTATGAGTATTAAAAGTTGCTCGTATGTATACAATTTTCTAGTTTGAAATAATATTCCAAGTTTCTGAGAAGCTACTTCTGGTATATTAACAACGTGATTGGGCAATGACATATTGTTATCCATTTTGACACAATAATTAATTGATGCAGCAATTAGTTTCCTAATATTGAATATAGGTGTATATAAAAAAATCTTCAGAAGAACTGAGAAAAAAAATCAGTTGAGAAAATCAATCAACATCAACTTCATCGAAGGCAGAATCAAATTTAATTAGTTCATTCTTTATATTGATATTGAAAGGATATCTTTTAGAAATATCATATAATTAGCCATATATGTATATATCTACACACAAGCAGTACTTCTTCCGTGGTATTACTTTATTCACAATCTGTACCCTTTATATTGCTGTGAATCTATCAGAAATTGTTAATAATTCCTGAGTCATCTTTTTTTTTATATGATTGAACTGACCGATCTCACTTAATGTGAGATTTCGCTACAATTATGACTCCCTAAGATGCTTTCATATGGCGAAACACGTGTCGCGGTTTTGTGAACTTTCAAGTGGAAATCTCAAATTAGTGTGTTTGCTGAATCTTTTAATAAACGTACAAACAATGCATGTTTCTGTGAAAACAAAATATTATTATTTTGAGTCTTCCAGTACCAATCAATTAATTATGATTGAAATTCTCAGATTTGAATAAACTATCCAAAGCCATATAATTGAAAATAGAAAAACAATTATAAGATGTCCGCAATTATTTCTTATTTTCAGATATTTCTGAACCTACGAACAAGGAAAAAGGGTATCCTATTTTGAAACAGTAAATTAGTTTTGACCAACAAGTTACAAATTACTTGTACTATTGCATAACTGAACTAATGAGAGGTATGAAATAGTGGTATTAGGAATCCTTACTCTGACAAGGACATATACTGTCACAGATCCACAGAATATCTATTAGGTGAGTATATTCACTGAATCTGAGGTAGACACCAAACTTAATATGAAATAATTAGTCTGACTTTTCATTTCTTTACTATTAATAGACATATTTATTTTCAGTTGTGAAATGGTATTTTTGTAAGGTGCCAAATATCACAAAAATCTGAAAATGAATTTCTAAAAAAACTTTGACCAGCTGTATTAATAATAATAATAAAAATATAGGTTTTTATTTTCCATAGCTAATACATATACAATCAAATTTATCAAAAAAAAAACAACATTAAAACATTGGGAAAATGCCAAAGATCACGTGGTTTGTATATCTGATGATAGACAGACCTCTGTTATTATTATTAAGCATAAGGGGATTCAATAGTGAGATGAGTGAAAATGTATATCTATATCTACTTACATCACACACAAACAATTTTTTGAGAACAGCACAGTCCATCAATCTTATTTATATTTGACTGTTCATCAAAGAGATGAGTTTTCATTCTTGTTTTGAAGGCTTGTTAATTCAAAATCTTTAAACCTTCGACAAGATGTGATTGTTCTATGAACTGGAGGTGTAATAGTTCCTTTAAAACGGACGTTTATATTGTGAATACCCTCTGTGAAAGAAATTACGTTCAAGAGTACAGGTGGGATTTTTAAGCTGATAAATTTGTTAAACAGACAAGACGAATGCAATAATCTTTTCCTTGCCCTTTTCAGCCATTTATGCTCATTCAGTTTGTAAGATATATTTGTCGCTTTCATATCCCATATATGAGTTGTGAACACGAATTTTGCCTTACTTGTATACGACAGATGTCTTTGGCATCAAAACATGGAACATATACTGAGTTCCAACAATTGAACCGAGCTAGCACCAATGAATGGCAAATTGTCCCTTGCACTATCATATTAATTATCTTACCAAAATAATAAGAAAGTCACTAATTTCATATCTATGTCATTGAAATATTGTTACATATATCAGACAAAAAAACCTTTGAAAGAAAATCCAGCTAATTATGTTATAGACACAATCACAATAAATGTATGCCAATCTCAAGATTTCAATAGCATGAATGTCGTTCACAAAAAATAACTAAGACTTGTCATTTCCTGATTATGCTAACTTGGTTAGCGAAACATCCATCAAGAAAGAGCAATTTTTTTCTGGTGGAGAAAAAGTGTTTTCAATAGATTCATTTCATGCCACAGGTTCCAAACTTCACTTATCAAACTCATGAGAGACGATCTCATATAGGTTATGTTTGTGATGCAATATGAATTTATCAATATTTGAAGCATGCAAATAATGTACTCCTGTCCTTGTTCTAAGACCTAAATTGGAATATGCCATGCTGATTTGTAAAGCTCATTTTGAGATTTATAATCATGCCCTTGAACAAATCCAGAGACAAATTTCAAAATCTGACCATCTATCTGGAATTCATCTAAATAGGAGAGACTACACAGAATAAGCTTCAACAAGTTTGATCGAGAGATGAACACGTGGGGACCTGATAGAGATTTACAAAATACCACTTAGACGTTATAGCATTAGACTCAACCTCTTTGTTTTCAGTGATAATAAATATGTAGACACAGTAATAAACTCGTGCAGGAAAAGTTCCAAATGGTGTCGTCAACATATTTTCTGAAACACAATGGAATGATCTTTCAAAACAATGTAATTTCAGCACCATATACTATTACGTTTTAAAAGTCGATATGACATGCATATACTCAAAAGTTAAACTGGTTAAGACAATTCATAAGAGCGCCTATGATGTACCAATTTATGGTTATTCTGTATGTATCTTTTTTCTCAGTTTTTTTAAAATGTAGTATGTAATGTACAATGTGTAAACATGATGTAATTCAATCTGCTAGGTCGCCTAACTACTAATGTTGTTTATTTTTTGTTCATATAGAAATAAAACATTCTTTATCTGATGTTTTTACTTTTTCAACTGAAATACAAATCAATTAAAAAAAATGCATTTTATTCAGCTTAGAGAAAGTGATTTGATATAAGACATATTTGTAATGTTCAGTGCTAAATAGATATTAAATCCCATAAAACATTATTAAGGTGATGAATTTGTTTTGAACTATTTTGGTCAATCTGGAGACAAAAGAACCATCATATGACCATGTTCTGCAAATACATTCTTCACCAGTGAGCACATAAATGTTAATAAATACCTTCAATAATAGTTTTTTTCAGATTTTTTCTCAAATATCTTCTATGTACACACAGAGTATGCAATCATTTTGATTTGTATTTTTTTGAAATGTACAAATGAAGTTTTATTTGACGAACTTTTTTAGGATCTGAATTGTAGAAAATGACATGCTTTTATAAAATCACTATGGTAAAACTATAAAAATTCAATGGTGAATGGTAAAACTATAAAAATTCAATGGTAGCTTTGGTTATTCTGTTATCCTCTTTTATGCTTAGAACAATTCGAACAAATATTTAACAATAAATATTATAGCAAATTACAAAATGAAATCAACATAGAAGCTTCAAGTCATCAATGCATGAGAAGAAAAAATAACCAAGCTTACATGTATCATGTTTTTATGTGGTTGTAGGTACTGACCTGGGAAAGGCATCAAAGAACCATGTTCTTTTGGTGTTAGGAAAGGCTACTCTCATTCCAGACATAAGAGGAGAATGCAATATCACAGCTCCAACTTCATATCTAGCTGCTAAGTCAACGGTTGGTACAGTGCCAATACTTTGGCCATAGAGTATAATATTTTCGGGGCTAATTCCATATCTAGTCCTCAATGCCTGCCAGGCAGCATCAATATCAGCATATAAGTTTTTTTCTGATGGTTTTCCAGCACTTACACCATAACCCGAATAATCATAACTGAATATATTACAATTGATACGAGATCCTAGTCCCAAATAAAAACTACTAATTTGTCCTAAATCAACTGCATTTCCGTGTGAAAATAAAATAGTAAATCTGGCAGTACTGCTACACCTAACAAATAAACAGGCAATTCGATTTCCTCTAGTGGTTCGCGTATAAAATACTTCTACATTTTCTTTTTCTCTTTCGGGAAATTGCCATTCAGCTCGTTCAGTCAACACAAAAGTGCATTTTCCATTTTCATCGGACACAAGTTCATATGTGGGATCTGGTGGTAAGAATGCTAATTTTGCTGCTATCCTGCTGGGGAAAGGTGGACAACAAAACAGACAACATAATTCACTAAAACTCAAACCGTTCATCTTTCATGAAATTTTTACAAACTAGGATGAATTTGAGTATATTTTTAAATTTTGTTAATAATTCATTAGCCTAGTATAATAAAAAAATTGTTCATTGTTGACATGACGACAATGACATCTCAGGACGCAAAAAGTAGAGATGGGTCGGTATTTGAGGAACGTTATTTTGGAGCGCGATTTTATGATAACATACCGTCGCGGTATACCAGAATGCTACATAATGGTAGTTTGCAATAGACGGTATTGCAGAGTATCGCATCGCGTCACCTCAGTATACTGTACAGTTTCTCGGATTACCATTAATGTTTGGTCACGGTGCTTTCCTGTGGGTAAGAATAGAACGCGATCGCCATATGTCATTCGCAAGCTATTACGGATCTTTTTGGCATATGTATTACACCTAATTATATACAAATACTGCTTTTTTCAGTAAGGTATTCACTAAGGTATTGGTCTATTTTCAAAGTCAAAATGTAATGTCACATTTTCTTACATATTTTGTTTGGTTGTGTTGAGTAAATAGAAAGTTTTGAAAAATAAACTCCACCTGATGAACACGAATTGTCTAATTACAGTATATGAGTTATATGATACTTTACAGACTATAGACTGAGCTTTATTGAAAGCTTCTACAACGCGACAGCGATACGCATGACGTCCCATATATTGCTCAGTATGTATATATGGATGTTTTACCACTTTTATTTTCATTTTGATTTCCCACCACGTAGTAACGGCTACATCCATCTATTTTTTGTATATAGAGTTTATATACAAAAGTATGGTCTTTCCTTCTCATGCAGTTTCGCTGTGGAGTATTTGTCTTAGTATTTTGTCACGCTATTTTCCAATCGCGTTCGCGACTTGAACTTTCCAATAAAGGAGCGGTATTGCCCATCTCTAGCAAAGAGGTAGACCACACTTCTTCTTCTCCATTTTTTTATCTCTGCTTCGTGAGCAACTTGCCAGTCATCAGTAATTTGAATCATCACCCATCACTCAGGTATTTAGGTTGCCTTCTCAGAGTAATGATATAAGTATTTTTTATTACTCTGAGGGTTGCCTCACTCGAGTTGATTCCATAAACCTCTAATCCTTCCTAGTTTTTTTTCGACTAACGAAAAATATATGTTATGTTTAAAAATATATGTTTGAAATATGTCTTTTCCGTTAACCAGCTGTCGCACCCCTACGAATGACACCTTCAGAAGACGAAAGTTTTGCGAGCTAAAGACTAATGAGGTCTTACCTTTCAACGTGTGATTCCTAACACGGGTTGGACGATAGCAAGTGAAAATCGAGCGTTCAGCCTGGGGCTTGAACCATCGAATCACACTCAAACCAACAAACCAGGTGTATTAATATTTTTGGGATTAGGTGAAAGACAAATATCACCACAAAGGATAGCATTCTTTCGCTTCGGGACAACGGCGGCGCATTATACAGACCCAAAATAATACCTAAGATTAGTAGCACCCAGGTTGTAGAAAGTAGGGATCTTTAACAGTGAATTTGTCTCTGTGTTACAGATATACAATTCCATTTTGTTATAAGTCATAAATTTCTCTTTATCTTTCATCGTTCAGAGAAAAAGTGAAGATTCACACATTAAATCCCTTACAATAATATACTATACTATAATATACGTTGAAAGAGTAACTTTGTTCGTTCTCTCATAACTTTGACATTTTTCAACTGTAAATTTGGGATCTTGTTCAATTTTTCAAATATGTATTATCTATTATTGTTCACATCTTAGTGTTCCCTTTATTGTAAGCAATGAGTATTATTCATTTACGAACTCACATTCAAAAGGGTCATTTGTGAAACTATCTGGTTTGGATATCAGTAACAAATTTTTTATTATTGCCGGTTTTATTTACCAACTTCGATAATAGGTAATAATTTTCCATTGAGTATCGAATATTTGCCGAAGATTACTTTGAAATTTTCTTTTTCAACACAAAGTATATGTATTTCATGGATTGATATGTTTCAAGCTTTAAATAATGCTAACAATAAAAATATTACATTTTTTAATAACTAATATCGAAAAGTGAGAGGGTTATGATTTATAAATGATGGGAATTAATAACACTCTCCATGATAGCAATTGAAAAATTTTTATAAACATTTTCAATTTCTAGACGCGTAGGAAGGTACGGTGTTAGCGACGCGTCTAGAAATAAAAATGTTTGTGAAAATTGTTTAATTATCATCAAGGATAGGTTATGATTTTATGTTTAGTGCTAATACTTTACTGTATTCATTTATCAACAAAGTTTATGAAACCAAAGTTTATGGATTGAAATATATCTAGATTGATTCTGAACGGAAAAAATCAATAATTTATTTTATGTATCGATGAACCAAAACTGAATCGGACTGTTTTCTTATCCAAGAGTTTTCAACTGATTGATCTGAAAAAACTATTTTTTTGTCATTAGTATTTATCGTTGAGTTCTATCACGTTCACTGATTCCAGAGGATTTTTCTCAAATACTGGCATCTTAGAAGTAAGCCAGTATTTCAAAATTTCAGTTTTATTGATAACCAATATTATCGTTTAGATTGTGACGAAAGAACAAACGTTTTCAGTGCAAGGGGGGTCTAAGAAAAAGGTATTGTTCCAGAGTAGATAACGCTGATAGTTCTAAACGACATTATTGTTTATGGATCACAGTAAACTGATGTTGAAATGCGAGTGCGCGTTTACAAGCCAATACTTACATTTAGCAGCCTCCAGCTGTTAAAGCCACACTCTACTGCTGAAAATGGTGAACGGTCAATGCCACTTCAACCTCTGGATACTTGAGTATATATCTCATTCATTTTAAAAAATGTTACAAACATTTTGACATATAATACACCATCTAGTAAATTCAAAAATTACTTTTATGCTGCATTCGGTGTAGCAAAGAAGTGCTCAGAGCAATACAAATATTTTATTTCTCTGATAATTTATCGAATAGTCCCAGAATTACTACTTTCATTATGTTTAAATTCTTCATTACGCTGTTACATCCAGGCACAATCTATTACGTTTTGAGAATTCGAAGCTTGAAATTCAGACATGAAATTTCTTTGTCAGTTTGTTCTCTATGATAATTCTATGATCTCAAGTGGATTGTGTTTCTCAGGTTATCATTGTGAATCACAGTACTGATCAATATACTGTATCAATTTATATATACATACATTTATTTTTTGAAATGTTGTCAACATATGCCAATCTTCCGATGCTTTGTGTATTTAATCTTGCCTATAGGTATGTCTGGGATAAAACTTGGGTTATAGCAGGGTTAGTTTTTCAGTTCTTTGAGCCTACGTCTGAGAATTTGACCTTGCTATATGGAGAATGTACACAGAAAAGTTAAAAAATTTCTGGATTCATTATCGAATTATCTCAATTTTTGTACGAAAATAAAATATTGTATGGCAGCTCTGACTCTCATGTGTAGCTGTAGGGAATCTTGTTAGGTGGTCGATGTCGAAGCTTGGTACACAACAGATCGTTTTGGTAAGCGTCATTTATATTTGATATTCGTGGACTGAACCTTCTGTCGATCCCATAAATGGGGTCTTGGTGAAGGCAGATGTCATCGTCCCTGCTTACCTCAGTTTAAATAAATACAAGTTTTATCTTCTTGGATCACTTTCATTTGTGTTACATTTGTGAAAACGATTTTTTGAGGGTGGCACCTTGAATGAAACTAATCCCATTGTTTATGTGAACTATTTCTACAGAACTCGGATCTGTGCGTTCTATGCTCATTTCTTATATTCACTGTTGGCCACCATGTCGATTCGAAGTTGTTACAGAAATCTATTCTTTTTGTATGATTCACCTCAGCTATTAAATCAGAGATGTCAGTCATGGTTTCGATAAACATAGCATAGACTAATTCTCACTTTTCTCATGGAAAATTTCCTTAAAATTTCATCATCCCTATGGATCACTAGCATTTTCTTAGACAATGTCACTAGTCCTCAAATGTTAGTTTTATTTATTGTCTTCAGAGGATTTCACAATGCACTTCATTTATTTTTCGTCCCACTAATAGATGGCGCAATAGACATGTGAAATCATTGAGTTGTAAATTTTTTGAATGTTGTATGGTATAACTATCGGGAATGAATACACAAAAAAAAAATCTCTCATGTTGATTCTGAGAAAATTGTATACATTTTCCACCACCAAGGTTCTCTTCCTATCTTCAATCATTGATTGATTCTCACTTGAAAATTCCGAAAATTAAGACACTGGAATGTATCTAATGAGGAAAGTTGTTTGGATCACCACATATAAATTCATACTGGGATCAACACACAGAAAACTAATTGGGAATGATATAAATGAGGCAGATTTGGAATAGGAGGCTTAGACCGGATGAAATAAAAAAAAGGTATTCTATAAAGTTAAAATTGGTAGCAGACCGATTATTTATTGGGAGCTACTATCTCTCCGTTAAACAAACATTGCCTCACGGTTAGCTACAGATCAAACAAGAAGTTTTCCTGGTGGAATGAGGAGGTTGAACAGACCCAAGTCTGTGCTAGACTATAAGATATTCTCGAAGGGACCTCAGGTATGAATGAACAATCTTGAAACAAATACTGAAAATTACACAAAAACTACCAAGAGAGTCTACACGAGAGCTTCTTTATGTCAGAAATACAAATCCCTCACCGCGGAGTCCTGGACAAATTCAAAACTGGAGGCAATGAAAGGACGTTCACAGAAATTTGGTAGAAAGGGCAAGAAATAGATTTTAAGAAAATTGAATGGAATGTATAATCAAAATATGATTCGCTGAGACCAGTCATACGGCAAAAAGTACCGAAAATTCTACTCAAAAAACTATGAGGTTTGGGGATCATTTCGTTCGTATTGAAAACGTTAGAAAAACTACTATTCAGTCATAGTACGAAGTATCACTGTTTATTAGATCACTGCATCGGTACTAATATACCTTCATTTATGGTATGGCAGGTATGTCAAGGGAAATCGCTTCATGTTGTCAGGAAAAATCAGAATAGTGATGTTAGAAACTTTTTTGGATATTGAGGGTACATTCGATAGTACATCCTTAAAATCAATTATTCATGTGGCATAGAGAAGAGGCGTCGATAATGCAAGCTGCATGCTCAGGATGATTTTATTCCTATTCTCATGAAACCTTGTGATGAACGCGTTATTAAGACTTTTGGACCATAAAGAGCTATGCAGACGACTTAGTCATTCTAGCCCAGGGCAAATAAAATAATGTAGTGCGGAGATGTAAGTAGGAGGTCTTGAATATCAAAGATAGATCAAGGAATAAGAACAAAGCTTGATATAAGCCTATCCAAATCGACCAAGACGACCAAGATAGAGATAAAAGATATAACCATCCGCACCTATGGAGGTTGGAATCATACATGATATACCAGCTTTTCTTAATTTATCTTTTGTGACCAAAGATAAAACGAGCGACTGATATAAAAAAAAAACTAGGCAGATTACAAAGACTTGTTATGGACTAACAGTAGCAATGAAAATCACACCAATAGCTGCAATGAAGACACTCTTGAATCTACCTCGGGCCAACTCACTCACTCACTCACTCACTCACTCACTCACTGAGCAACAACGAAATTTCGGAATATGTGGAGAAACGAACATCAAATATGTTCAAGGAGCATATAATAAAGAAGTATATTTTTTACTCAAATTCAACGTGCAGTACGTCTGCAAAAACTGTTTCAACAGAGTAGGTATGTATTTAAAAACATTACATGGCTAATCACTGGTGCTATCCTCCTGTACAGTGGAGGTCTTAGCTTCAGGGAATGCAACAAAATATCATATTTTAGGCATGTAGTGTTTTCCGAAGACTTGGAAGAAATGTATGTCAGACGGCTCTCAAGTAGACAAAATGGACAATTAAACCATTTTCAGATGAATCGAATTCTTTAAAACTTTCTTTCTGTGAAACAAATATCTGAGGCCCCATTGAGGGAAGTTTGTCAAAAATTATGGTGTGAAAATTTTTCATTAAAAAATAACGATTTTTAGGACAGAGTAACTCTGATGGTTGAAAACAAAAAAAAAACCTTGATCATAAAACATATAGGAAATCAGGTCAACTTCGGTTTCTTATAGAACAGACCTTTTTGTTATTCCACTGGTTCTGAGAAATGGATGGAAATACAAAAAAAAGCGACCTTTAACACTCAATCTCCTCCTTTTTCACCATCCCTAAAATGTAGGATTTTTCGTATGTCAGTGCTTGGTACCAAAATGTACCTACTGTCTTTTGTCTTTCTGCTCATTGACTTTTTATCCATAATTTTCCGTTGACTAGGCTATAAACCCCCCCTTGATAATTATAATTTATAATTTGATTTTCAGTTCTTCGTTGAATATTGTCTTGATATTTATGGGTAAGGAATGAAAAAAAATACCTTTGAAAATTTATGAATCTTTATGCAGTTTTCAGGCGCGGAAATAAGGAACTCTCTATAAGTGGTGAGGTATATTGCCTTTTAGATAATTATTTACATTTACATACAATAAATAAGAGAATAAATAAAAAGAAAAATGAGAGTCAGTCAGAATCTACGAGGGGGGGAACCGTGTGCATAGCATCAGAAACGGCCATATGCACGTCAGGCAGTGCGGTGGAATCTTCCCAGTCCGCATGCGTGGATAGGTCCACACCGTAGTCTTCATCGGGAGTGGTGTACTCCAAGGTAGTGGATGTGGGGACCGTTGTGGTGGTGGTCGTCTCTGATTCGAACTGGTTCAGTCTTTTCTTGACGCCCTTTTTGTTTTTTCTTTTCTTTTTCGGATCACTCACTAATAATTTGTCACTAATGTTAAACTTTTGTTTCTTTTTATTATGTAGGTCTCTTTGGCACATTTCACTGGTTTTATCGTCATCGCACTTATGATTATTTCGGTTTTGCGCCTTGTGCTTCGGAACATTTTGTCTTTTTTGACATGATTCGGATTCGTTTTCGACACTAGTGCATTTTCGTTTCCTCTTCTTGCGCTTCCTCTTCTTCGGACAGAGCTGCTGATGCGGGTGGATTTTTGGGGTTTGGTGGGCAGCCGGTAGAGGGCAGGAGTGCGCGTGATGTCGCATGGGGTGGAGCTGGAGCTCGGCCGAGACCGGCCGAGTAAGCACGAGGATGTATGAGGCGAGCCTTCCCAGATGCTTCTGAGCTCGAAGGACAACTTTCCTCGATTGCCCTCGTTGATTCAGGGCCAAGTAGAAGGTTCGATGTGCGTTCGAGTATTTACTAGATGAATACGTATTGTAGTGTGATTGCTCGATGGTTTCGTTGAAGACGCACTCGTCGCCGAAGTCCCTCTGAAACAGAAAAAAATGAGTTCAAATTGCTGTAAGACAACACTCATAGAAAGATGGTTGAAAATATATTCAATATATTTTGATTCTGAATGAGTATTCAACAAAAACTTTTTCTTCAATAAAGTACCCACGTAAACGATCATTCAAACGAGCTTAAGGGTCAAACAACTGATGGGAGCGTCACACAATCATTCTACCGATTCACAAAAGGAATTTATATAGGAAAATGCGAGTTTTAGAAAAAGTTATGGTGGATTGCTAATATATTTCGCAGTACAGAAATTCACAAGATCATGTCATCACGGCAAAGACCACCTCGAGAAGGTTAGCCTTTAACATTCTCCAGGGAATGTTGAATGATGGTCACGGTTGGTGTTAGAGGACGCTGATATGTGTAAACTCTAGGTAAACTGTTATACTCTCCTTCACTGTCATGGTGAGGTTATTCCATTCGCAGGGGAAGTGAAATCTCTAGGCAATATCATCAATGAGCAACTCATCTTAAATGATCACTAGGAAAAGGTTTCGCACAAAGCTAAACAATAGACATGCTGAAAGATTTGTGGAAAATCTTGGGGATTGTGGCCAAAAATGTGAAAACGTGACGATTATCAGACCAATGATCATATACGGAGCAATTGTCTGGTGACCAAAAATTCTACAGCAAACGGTTCAGGCGAAGCTTTCTAAGTTTGTGTTGAATGTCGAAACTGAAAATCACCGGTTTCTAATACCTTCAAAAGTCAACTACGCCCTGCTCTATATAGTTCGAAACCCGAGTAGAAGGAACTGGATCCTCCGAGAAAATACTGAGCAGAGAGCTGTTAGTACACAAATAGCCCAAAAACACCTTCAAGTTCTGGTGTAGACCCAGATTAGATATGACTGATTCCAGGTGGATATCTACGCTATTGATTTATGCGTGGAGAGACAGAAAAAAAACTAACTTTACACAGAGAACAATAAAAGCATATAGTATTGAACACGCCTGGAGAAGCTAGTGTATAGTAAAACACTTGTCGCGGTTTTGTAAATCGTTGAGTATAAATCTTACAATGAAATTATGAAATAGCAGAGTATATACTTTGTGTTTGCAGACCAAATAGTTTTAGTATTTGGGAGAGTTTCACTCTTGGCATCTAATCTGAAAGATCAGTAACGAAATAAATATATCGACTTCATTGAGAAGATGGACTTATTTGGTCGATTTTGGTGTGAGCCACAATAGACCCACTTTTAAACTGAACCCAACCAAACTCATATGGTATAAAGCAGATTATAGTCAAACATGGGATTTATATGTCAATTTGACGTATACATCGAAATATTTGTTGAGCGATAACAATCAGAAATATCATACTCTCATATTGATGGATGTCAAAAAAGCCACTGCTATTTTGGTTGAATCTTTTCTACCCTCACGAGGGAAGATTACCACAAAACCGGCCTGTAGGTGATCACTTGATTAATTTTAGAGAGGTCTTGCTGCTAAATGACCGAGACACATCTGTAAAACTATCCTAGTGAGGTAAATTGCATACTTTGTCTGTCATATATAAATCAATGTACATCGTGGTATTAGCCAGTAAAGTAGTTGAGAGATGTGAATTTTTGAATTCAATTCGAACTATTTGTTTTCTTGAACTGTTTTCATCATAATCATATTCCTAGTTCAAATTATTGAAACGTTTTAGGACAAAACACGAGCACTACAGGAAAATCCTTAGGGCATTTTGAAAGCGGTGCCTGTGCGAAAGTAGTGATTCACATTGGATTGGAATCGCTGAAGATTGTATTCATTTGGAAAAACGTTCTCAGGAAGTTGATTCCACATAAACGCAGTTCTACAAATGAAAGAGTTCTTGAAAAGTGAAGTGCGAGGTGTACTGAGTTGAACCTCAAAATAATGAGCAGCCACAGTCCGTCGCGTATTTCTGATATGTACCGCTCTTGGTAGAATCAAATGTGCCAAGTCACTTAAACACTTTCCGTGAAAGTATCTATAGAAGAGACACAAATCTCCAATCTCTCTTCGACGCTTGCGCCTCCAATCAGGCGGATGGCTCTTCTCTGGATGGAATCCTGCAGCTTCAGGGTATGACTAGGGACGAAACTCCATACATGAAAACAATACTTCAAAGAAGGTCTGATCTGAGCTTTATAAAGCTTCAAAAGTTCCAAGCTTTTGAGTAGCGGCATTTGCAATTCCAGCGACATGATTGTACCAAGACAATATATTGGTGTCCATTTCAACCCCCAACAAACTTATCGAAGCAGAAAGTGGAATTTGTCTGACCTGACATTGTTATATGTTTGTATATGTTTGGAGAAAACCGATGTTTGGGTTTTTGTGGCATTGAATTGAACCTGGTTACTTTCACCCCAATTGGATATTATTTCTAGATCCTCATTAAGATATTCAACCTCCTGCTGCCGGTGAAGATGTGCATCCGCCGCCGATGTCCTGGAATCCAAATGAAATGACGAAAGAAGTGTGCTGTCGTCAGCATAGCAATATATTGGATTCCTGGATCGATGAGTTAATCTGGATATTATACTGGTTATTTTATTGGGTCACCAAAGTTATCATTTCATACCATATCATAGTATACCGTAGTTATCATTTCTGTTGCCGTCAAGCGCTGACAGTATTATTTTTCAGATTTAACGCATTCATTGAAGGTGAGTAATCAAAATGAAGAATTGAACAATTATGACTTACTTTTTGTAACAGCTATCGAGTTCTTGATCAGTTTTAATACGAACTGGCATTGTTGTCGGACTTCGAAATTCTTGGACATTGTCGATGTCGGCATAAGTCAATAATCTGAATATATGCCAAGAAATAAATTTTGTATTTTACAAGTTTTCAATTCATTGAACAGCTAGATTATTATCGCGATTGATGTTTTTAAAACAGCATTCAATTCATGGACCCCTGCATTGAAAAACCGTTTTGAGTGATATAATCGCACCTTTAATGGAATGTATCGTGTGATACTCTTGTTCTGAACCCATGTACCCATCTTTTTTATTACCCTGTTTCAAGTCAGAGGGTAATGTAACTAGCACTAGACATTTTTATTATTGGCCGTAGATCGTAGAAAAACATTTTTATACCAGAATCCATTAGGAACGATTTCCATTTTCTTTGTATTTTATAGTCTTCGGCATTTCGTTATTGTTTAACATGGCAAGATTTTTCACAGCTGTATTAAGCACTCAACGCGTTACACGGAGCAAGCATTAGTTTTGAACCTATACAGAATAGGTTCAATTTTGAGGCGAGAAAACAAACAAGTTAGACACTAGACGGCCCATATTTTTCCGACAAAAAGGTACATGACTTCAAATTAATTATTATAGAGTAGGAATATAAGTTTGATAGTAACACGACTTACATTGAAACGATCACTTTGGTCAAGGTTATTATCTAATACATTTATTAAACTAAATTTCAATATCTAGGTACATATAGGATGTCAGTTTGAAAACTCATCACCTTTGTTATTTTCCTTCCAGGAAATACATTCATACAGTTTTTGAAGGCTCAGCATTTTATAGAAATGAATTTGAAAAAATATATATGAACGAGAAACTTTCAAAATTGATCGAAAGTTACGGCATTTTACCCATCACCCAATCATGATTCAGACAGAATTGCAATTGCTCAACAGCATTACTCAAAGGGGAAGATAACATTCGTCTATTAGTAATTGAAACCTATGGATATTTCTCCGTTTAGCTTCGTCAATGTCACACAGATGATAGGCAAAGTTATTATTCAACTTTGGTTGCTCAATAAGCACTATAGAAATAGCCGCATTGAACTGCTTATTATCAGCTCAGCCTCTAACTCTCAATTCTAATGAATGTTCAGTTATGTTGTTTGGAACTAGAAGTGCTGTAAGTTAGGCTTCAGATAAAGAACAAATTGAACTTGCTGGTAATATTCTACTGATGAAGAAAATAATAAAAAATAAGAAATCAAGGAATTGGAAAACCTTTATTAGATGCTAATACGAGTGCACAATCAATGTTTTGACCGTTTAGACAGTGCTGAGTGTCGAAAATCGTTGAGTCAGCATGAACAATTGCGACAAAGTAATTGTCGAACCGCTTCTGTCATTGGAACACTCATAGAAAGGGAATCCCACCTCTGATAATTTTTATTTCCAGATCTTCATACTTTTATCGAACTCTAATCGGAGCGTCTTCATTATTATGATTTGATTGTTCGTCCAACCTCAAATCCTCCTCAAAGAGTGAAAAATAATGAAAAAGAGCAAATTCTTGAGTGGGTGATGAAATAATCACCTCGAATAAAACGAACTTTCTCGTGAAATAAAACAAAAGTACTTCATTTTGTCTCCGAAGCATATAATAACTTGTATATTTAGTTCAGGAATTGTGCCAACACACTCGAAGCTAGCTATAATTGCTCTAGTGTATGTCACGTCAGGTGACCCGAATGATCGAAATACTAAAGACTAGAGACCAATATCTCTCATTAAGGGTCAATGGCTGCCTTATTTCTTCGAAAGATCTGTTTCCTGGGATGATTAAGATAAAAACGAACAGACCCGTTTATTTTCGAAAAGTAATATGAATATTTTGCAATCTCCATAAAGAACGTTAAATATTCATTTACCGTGGTCTTCTTTGGTTATAATCTCCAAACGTTTCAACTGCAACTGCGACAGTCATCTTCAGTATCGTGGTTGAAGTACTCTTGTTGACGTATCAACTGAAACTGAAGCTCCCATTTTTGCCGTGTCATTTATAGTGCTGATTTTTCACGCACTTTCTGTAATGGCGGTTTCGGGCGTACTTCCCGTGCGATTTGGGTGCCTTGGCTTCGTTTTGGCGCTTTTCAATGCTGTGTGCCAGATCTTTGGTAAATATGTTCTCTCTTACTCTCTGATGGAGTTCTCTTGGAGTTTGTGTATTTCTATGGCCATGGTATGATAGGCAGTGCCTTGGGGTTGATCTTGAGTGGT